AAATGAGTTCTTGATAATTGACCAGTTTTACATATTCGGCACGACATATATATATATATATATATATATATATATATATATATATATATATATATATATATATATATATATATATATATATATATATATATATATATATATATATATATATATTTTTTTTTTTTTTTTTTTTATTATCACACCGGCCGATTCCCACCAAGGCAGGGTGGCCCGAAAAAGAAAAACTTTCACCATCATTCACTCCATCACTGTCTTGCCAGAAGGGTGCTTTACACTACAGTTTTTAAACTGCAACATTAACACCCCTCCTTCAGAGTGCAGGCACTGTACTTCCCATCTCCAGGACTCAAGTCCGGCCTGCCGGTTTCCCTGAATCCCTTCATAAATGTTACTTTGCTCACACTCCAACAGCACGTCAAGTATTAAAAACCATTTGTCTCCATTCACTCCTATCAAACACGCTCACGCATGCCTGCTGGAAGTCCAAGCCCCTCGCACACGTGTTATATATATATATATATATATATATATATATAACACGTCGGCCGATTCCCACCAAGGCAGGGTGGCCCGAAAAAGAAAAACTTTCATCATTCACTCCATCACTGTCTTGCCAGAAGGGTTCTTTACACTACAGTTATAAAACTGCAACCGTAACACCCCTCCTTCAGAGTGCTGACACTGTCCTTCCCAGTTTCCTTGAATCCCATTCATAAATGTTACTTTGCTTACACTCAAACATCACGTCAAGCATTAAAAACCATTTGTCTCCATTCACTCCTATCAAATGCACTCACGCATGCTTGCTGGAAGTCCAAGCCCCTTACACACAAAACCTCCTTTACCCCCTCCCTCCAACCTTTCCTCGGCCGACCCCTACCCCGCCTTCCCTCCACTACAGATTTATACACTCTCGAAATCATTGTTTCGTTCCATTCTCTCTACATGTCCGAACCACCTCAGCAACCCCTCCTCAGCCCTCTGGATAATAATTTTGGTAATCCCGCATCTCCTAATTTCCAAACTACGAATTTTCTGCATTATATTCACACCACACAATGCCCTCAGACATGACATCTCCACTGCCTCCAGCCTTCTCCTCGTTGCAACATTCATCACCCATGCTTCACACCCATATAGGAGTGTTGGTGTAACTATACTCTCGTACATTCCCCTCTTTGCTTCCACGGACTCCTCATTGCACCACTTTTCCCCTCATCAATTCTATGATTCACCTCATCCTTCATAGACTCATCTACTGACGCGTCCACTCCTAAATATCTGAATACATTCACCTCCTCCATACTCTCTCCCTCCAATCTGATATCCAATCTTTCGTCAACTAATATTTTTGTTATACTCATCACTTTACTCTTTCCTATATTCACTTTTAATTTTCTTCTTTTAAATACCCTACCAAACTCATCCACCAACCTCTGCAACTTCTCTTCAGAATCTCCCAAAAGCACAGTGTCATCAACAAAGAGCAACTGTGACAACTCCAATTTTGTGTTAGATTCTTTATCTTTTAACCCCACACCTCTTGCCAAGACCCTCGCATTCATTTCTCTTACAACCCCATCTATAAATATATTGAACAACCACAGTGACATCACACATCCTTGTCTAAGGCCTACTTTTACTGGGAAATAATCTCCCTCTCCTACATACTCTAACCTAAGCCTCACTATCCTCGTAAAAACTCTTCACTGCATTCAATAACCTACCTCCTACTCCATACGCATGCAACATCTGCCACATTGCCCTCCTATCCACCCTATCATACGCCTTTTCCAAATCCCTAAATGCCTTATCTAATACTGTTCACCTATATGTTTCACTGTAAACACTTGGTCTACACGCTCCCTACCTTACCCAAAGCCTCCTTGTTCATCTGCTATCCTACTCTCCGTCTTACTCTTAATTCTTTCAATAATGGCTTTACCATATACTTTACCAGGTATACTCAACAGACTTATTCTCCTATAATTTCTGCGCTCTCTATTGTTCCCTTTGTCTTCATACAAAGGAACTATGCACGCTGTCTGCCAATTCCTAGGTACCTTACCCTCTTCCATACATTTATTAGATAATAGCACCAACCACTCCAAAACTATATCGGCCGTTTCCCACCAGGGCATGGTGGGAAACGGCCGATAACGAAAAACGGCCGAAAAAGATAAAAATCACCATCATTCACTCCATCACTGTCTTGTCAGAGGCATGCTGACACTACAGTTATAAAACTGCAACATTAACACCCCTCCTTCAGAGTGCCGGCACTATACTTTCACATCTCCAGGAATCAAGTTCGGCCTGTCGGTCTCCCTTAATCCCTTCATAAATGTTACCGTGTTACCTTCTGGGTTTTGTTCTATTTTCTAAATGGTTCTTCTTCTTTATTTCCTCTTATCTCCATGGAGCAGCAGAGAAGAATTCTTCCTCTGTAAGCTATGCGTGTCGTAAGAGACGAATAAAATACTGGGAGCAAGGAGCTAGTAACCCCTTCTGTATAAATTACTAAATTTAAAAAGAAAAACTTTCGTTTTTTTCTTTTTAGGTCACCCTCCTAGGTGGAATACCGCCGGTTTGTTGAATATATACATCGCGCCCAATGGCTGAAACATATATATATATACATATATATATATATATATATATATATATATATATATATATATATATATATATATATATATATATATATATATATATATATATAATGTCGTGCCGAATAGGCAGAACTTGCGATCTTGGCTTAAATAGCAACGCTCATCTTGCCATATAAGACAAGTGAAAATTTGTGTATGCAATAATTTCGCCAAAATCATTCTGAACCTAACGAAAAAAATATATTTGATTGTGTTTGTTTAGTATTAAATTACTGTAAACGTATTTAAAATATATTTAGTTGGGTTAGGCTAAAATAAATTGTTCTTGTTATAATAAGGTTAGGTAAGTTTTCTCAGATTCTTTTGGTGCAAAATTAAAAATTTTTACATCAACATTAATGAAAAAAATATATCTTCAAACGTATAAGAGAAATTTTCAGAAAGGACTTAATTTTAAATGACTTCTTGCTAATTGACCAGTTTTACATATTCGGCACGACATTATTATATATATATATATATATATATATATATATATATATATATATAATATATTATATATTATATATATATAATATATACATATATATATCGGCACATATATATATTGTCGTTCCGAATGGGTAAAACTTATGATTTTGGCTTAAATAGCAACGCTCTTCTTGCCAAATAAGGCAAGCGAAAATTTGTGTAAGCAATAATTTCGCAAAAAATAATTCTGAATCTAACAAAAAATATATATTTCATTGTGTTTGTTTATTATTAAATTATTGTAAACATATCTAAAATATATTTAGATGGATTACGCTAAATTAAATTGCTCTTGTTATAATAAGGTTAGGTAAGTTTTCTAAGGTTCTTTTGGTGCAAAATTATTAATTTTTACATTAAATAATGAAAAAAATATTTTAAAAACGTAAAAGAGAAAAATTTTAGAAGGGGACTTTTTTTTAAATGATTTTCTTGCTATTTGACCAATTTGACCTATTCGGCACGGTATATATAAATATATTATATATTTTATATATATTATTATATAAATATATATTTATATAATTACTATTATATATATATATAATATAAATTTATATATATATATTAATATATTATATATAAATATATATAAATATATATATAAATAATAAAAATTTAATATAAATAAATTATATATATAAATATATTTTATTATATATATATATATATATATATAATTTTTTAAAAATATATATATATAATATATATATAATTCGTGCAAAAAGGCATTTGAAGTGCACAAGGGGTTTAGTGTGGTTTCTCCACAGTTAACCACAGTACAGACTCTTGGTGTTCCAAATATTTTCCCTAAACTTTTAAACGAGCATAGATTCTCTACAAAAAAAAAAAAAAAAAAAAAAAAAATGTCAGACCCCAAAAAGTGGAAAAACTCTGTCTACGGAAAGAGTGAAAACTTGTGCACATTTGGATAACTTCTGGGAGAAGTTTGCCTCCAATGGCTTATCAATCCATAAAAAAAATAATAAAAAGGACAGGAAAGACTGAAGTAGTCTGAGGTGATCATTCCCTCAGTAAAGCGGGTTTTTAATTAGACGTGCTGTTAAAGTGTAAGCACACTATCATTTATGAAGGGAATAGGGGAAAATCGCTTAGTAGGAGTTGGACCTGGAGGTGGGAAGTACAGTGCCTGCACTCTGAAGGGGGGGTAGGATGAAAAGTCGAAGGCTCACTGATTGTGAGGTGTGAGGACTTATGGCAAGACAGCTATTGAATGAATGATGATAACAGTGTTTCCCCTCTTTAGGTCACCCTACCTCGGTGGGAGATAGCCGATGTGTTAAAAATAAAATCATAACATTAGATTGAGCAATAAACTGCCAGTTTTCGCGTGTAACATCGATGCCTAAACTTTCTGAAGTATTTAAAAAGGGAAAATACATCGCTGACCAAAAATGGCCATTTAAAAACGTCTTGGTATCATGTGCCGGGATCTTCCCCGGGGGGAGCAAGCATTCGGCCCCCTTCCCACGTATGGTGGCCAGAGAAATCTGTAAAACCAACAATTAACTAACTGGGGGTCCAGGTTTGTTCATTATGGCCATATGACCCGAAATCCACTTTTTTTTTAAAATTTTATCAAAAAGAGAGTATAGCTGATTTTTACCGCAAATTTTTAAATCTCTTTGCCTGGCAGAGGCCCGCTTTTTAACAGTGGGGAAGGGGGGTGGTTGCGCCCTACAGCCTATGTTTTTTCAAATAATTAAATAGAAACTCCCTTTTTGTCCCGCGAATGGGTGGATGACTTCAATTCCTTTAGTAGAAGTTCTTCACTAGCGTCAAGGCACCCCTTTCAGAAAAGCTAGGCATTAACTTATCTTCATGATTCCTCGTCAGATATGGAGGTAGCATCATGGCGGGTGTTGGTGGTGGTGACGCTGTTTGCTGCTTCTCACGTTGCAGCTGCTGCTGCGTCCCCGGCGTCCTCCGTCAAGTCCCTGCTGGGCACTACCCTGGGACCAGAAGTAATGGAACAAGTGTTGGGTTGGGGCAGCCGAGAAGGGCGTGAGCGCACAAGGAGCAGCAACACTAGCACCGTGGGACGGTCCCGTGGCAAGAGAGCTCTGATGGGGTTTCCCCCTAAATCTATAGTAGCTTTCTTCTTCAGGCTGTTCATTCCTTTCTGGTCATATCCTCGTGTCAGTGAGTACTTTTAGTGCCATAATCAGTTTTCTGGCCTCCACGTTTGTAATATATCACCCAGTCTTCATAAAGTGCGTATGTTTTCGAACATATTTGTCCACAATATCTTATTCGGCTGTTGGTCTGCGCTGTATGACCATTGTAGGTTTAGCGCTTCTTTTTTTATTATAATAATATTGGCTGTTGGTCAGGCGTTGTTATGACCTTTACCGGGGAAAGGGTAAATGGGATTTAAAACCTATCAACTTCACGAGGGTCATTAAGGCTGCAAGTAACTTTTTCACCACCAGAAGAGGATACTTCATCCCTAAAGTAACCTCTGTATATACGCTGAGAAATATACGCATCTCGGACGTCTATAGTTTAAGCGTTCCTTCAAGGACATGTAAAAGATATTACCGCGAAAACGTCCTTCTCGTTTATTTATTTATTTATTTATTTATTTTGTCTTTGCAAACAGTACATTGAGATTTTATATTTACAATAGCGGGTTACAATGCAAAGAGAGCCTCTATTATGCCTAGGCATTATGGGCCAACTTAACATTATTGGCTTACAGTTTACTTAACACTAAGGAGTATTTCATAGTTGTACAGTAGGATAGTAATTATTTCATAGTTGTACAGTAGGATAGTAATTATTTCATAGTTGTACAGTAGGATAGTAATTATTTCATAGTTGTACAGTAGAATATTATGAATGAATCAAAATTTGTATAATACAAAGATATATTTATATTCGAAAATACTTTTTGTGAAAACAATGATTCAGTTTTATGTAATTTACTTCTTATTAACGTTACAGTAACTTAATTTAACCTTTGAGTAGCTTAAATTTATTTACGGACTGATGTGTATTGGAAAACGAACGCTGTTATTATGAGGACAGGTTGAATATATTTAATATGTGAAGGAAGACATACACGTTCAGTTATGATATTAATGGAAATATTTCGCAGCGAGTAACTTCTGTCCTAATGGCGACGAAACACTTTCTTTAAAATGTCATAACTGTATGTGTCTTCTTCCACATCGTGTGGGTATCATACCCTGATAGTAATGATCTGTGTGCATACACACAACGTACAGACATCTGCGAATTTAGCCCAATGACTGATGCGCACCAGACTGATTAACGAATGAATAACTTGCAGGGATGACTGGGGACTTCCGAGTCGAAGTGACCTACAAGCTGCCCACTAATTTCTTTAGAAGGAAACGTTCACTTGTCAACGAACGATCTACCTTGTACAGCCTCCTGGGGGATTTCCTCTCAAAGTTAGTCCTGTTGTTCACAACTGAAAAGATCCGGGTTTGAATCCTGAGCAGGATTAGGTGCATGGGCCACTATAATACTTGCTGCTTGTGTTTACCTCCTAGTGAATAGATACCTAAGAATTAGCTGAGAGTTGTGGTTTGCATGATAGAGGAAGGATCTCAAACTAAGTCTTAATAAATGGGTTATCTTGGGTTAAGTGTATCCTATCCTTGTACTGTTCTCTAGTGCTTCCCAAAGTCTTTTGAAATCATATAGGGCCTTGGAACAGGTGATTTGATTCAATACAAGGTAAGCAAGAGCACCTCCAATCCATTTAATAGAAAACTTCACTGGCATCAAGGGCCCCCTCTCCTTAATATAATAATAACTAAAATAGTAATAGTAATTAATAATATAGATGATAATTCTTTGAAATCTGAATAAGTTGATATATGGTGTTTAATAAGCATGACGTGATAAGAACCCAAATGGAAACAAGTCACTGACTTTTGTTTTGGTTATCCAAGGTAATTCACACATATGTTAAATTATGTAAGATAACTGTACTTATCTGTACCTGTACCTGTACCTAAATCAACTTAATTTACTTTCGTAGGGCTGGTTTAGACGGAGAGGAGTGTATCCTGAGGGCAGTTTGCGATGTAGGAGAAGCACCACTGGACGAGTATGGTCTCCTTGGAGAGATCATTACCCTAATATTTGCGTGAGTATTAGACTTAGCTTTCTATTCTGTTCATTTTTTTTTATTCTTTTGAAGTCTACTACCTATGGAAAAGTTCTTTTAATGTGATTTTACCAAAATTGTTTTTACGTGTCAACGATCATTAAAAAAATAACAGCCCGTTGGTTTACCCTTAAATCATGACAGGCCAGGATTCGAGGGCAATAACCTTCATAAGGACTTCATGCAAGCAGAAGAGTATGGAAGGAGCTATGGCAACTGCTGGTCAGCCTTTCCTAACTGTCCGATGTCTATGAGGGAAATGCTTCATGAGTTCTTCCTCAATAACGCTCAGTTTCTGACAGAAGATGGAACATAGTTTTCTATAAATGTGTGGGATAACTATAACAACAACTTACATGGTGTTTTGACGCTAATGTTTATCTCAGGAACTTAATGTCAGAGTTTTGAATCTTCTGTGTTGAAGGAAGGGGAAGGAAAATGTGCGCAATGATATTTATAAAACTTAAACCATTCTACCCTCCCCTTTGCTCTGAAGGAAGATGGATACGCTCCCCTTGATAATAATAATAATCTTTATTTCACAAGTACATGTACAAGGTACACAGGCCTAGCTGACGTCAGGACATACTATAAGATAGAAAGCCTCTTGTTATGCAGAGCATTTCGGGCAAATTAAGTCAGTTTTGTCCCAGGATGCGACCCACACCAGTCGACTAACACCCAGGTACCCATTTTACTGATGGGTGAACAGGAACAGCAGGTGTCTTAAGGTAACACGTCCTAATGTTTCCACCCGTACCGGGGGGGTCGACCCCCGGGCCTCAGTTGGTGTAATAATAAGAACCCCCGTGGGTTTAGCGCTCCTCGTAAATATAATAACCCCGTTTATATGAAACCTGGTAACCACCTATTACCCATGGCGCTCTATGAACCCTACAGATTTCGTAGGTAAATTTACCAGGTATGAAAACCAAGGATCCCAATGGAAATAAGTTACTTTGTCTGACTTTTTTTGGGGTTATCTTAGGAAATTTACACATGTCACTAGGTATGATAACTATACTGCACCTGTACCTTTCTGAACTTACTAACCATGGACTTACAAAGGGCATGTGACACTGAACCATGAAATCTTATGCTCCTATTCTTCAAGGGCTATATGACCCTTATGGGTTTAGCGCTTTCCTGTAATTAAAATAGTCATATTCTTGTGCTGTGTGAACTTCGTCCATAATACCTGTTTCATATATGTAAACTTACCCTATCATTATTTTCTTAGCGTCAGTAAAGATACAAATATAACTTTCTATTATAAATATATATAAATATAGCTTTCTATTATATGAACTAGTCATATAGGATATGATTATAAATAAGGAGCGTTGCATATTAAGAAAATTGAAATAGCATTATTTAAATAAAAGAGATCTATAAGGAATAAATTTGTGTAATATGTCCCCTCAAGGAAGGTTCCTTGATGTTGGTGAGGGGCTCTTGATTTAGGGAATTGGATCTGTGCTCCAGTTCCCCGAATTAAGCCTGAATGCCTTCCACATCCCCCCCCCCAGGCGCTGTATAATCCTCCGGGTTTAGCGCTTCCCCCTTGATTATAATAATAATTGTGTAATATGTAGTAAGGAATCTCGCTTGTTAAGAAAAATCATATGTATTTTGTAATTTTATAAATACTGACATTTTGTATAAAATGTATTATTCATTGAAGAATATTAAAATACATATATGCCTAAATAAAAACGAAACATAAGATGACCTGTCAAGGATGGGCCAGTAGGCCTACTGTAATGTTCCTCCATTCTCATGGAGTCACCGCGTATTAATATTACACTTGCCTAATAAAACCTTCAAGAAGAAAATAGGCACAACACCGTGACTGGAACAACACACAAATAACCCGCACATAGGAGAGACCACGTTACAACGACGTTTTGGTTCTGACTTTGTAAATGGTTCAAGTCGAACCGAAACGTCGTCGTAAGCTCCTCTCTCCTATATACCTGGTTATTTGTATATAATCCCTTCAAATGGGTGGGGAAGGGGGACTCCTTGATGAGAGTGAAAGGCTCGTGAGCCAAGGAGTAGGAGTTTACCTTTCCCTTTATTTCGCTCAAATATAACTAACAGCATCCGCTCCCCATACACTGTATGACCCCTACGAGTGTAGCGCTTCCCAAGAATGTAATAATATTGTGATTAATAAAGACATGTTAGAATGATTCTATATTCCTTTGTAAAAAAAATATAAATTTAAGATAAATAAAGTTGTGTATATTGTTCTTCATTATTTCCATTTATTCTGCGTTGTCTCGTCTCAGGCTGGATAAGTTTATTTATATGCTTATCCCATCAAGGGTATGCCTTGATGTCTGTGAAGGGCTCTTGATCCATGAAATTGCATCCTCTATTTTCAATAACCCTGAAGGGTTGAGCGTATACCCATGAATGTAATAACCATGAATGTAATGGGGAAATTAAAACGTCATCAGTGTACAAAACAAATTCCTTCCACAAAATAGAGCAAAAAAATCAACGTCAAAGACCTGGGAGTGATCATGTCGGAGGATCTCACCTTCAAGGACCATAACATTGTATCAATCGCATCTGCTAGAAAAATGACAGGATGGATAATGAGAACCTTCAAAACTATGGATGCCAAGCCAATGATGACACTCTTCAGGTCACTTGTTCTATCTAGGCTGGAATATTGCTGCACACTAACAGCACCTTTCAAGGCAGTTGAAATTGCTGACCTAGAAAATGTACAGAGAACCTTCACGGCGCGCATAACGGAGATAAAACACCTCAATTACTGGGAGCGCTTGAGGTTCCTGAACCTTCTTCTTCTTCTTATGACCAGAGCTTTGGTAAGATGGGTAAGGAAGAAGGATGGGTAAGGATGGAAATATTGGAAAAGGGTGGGAGGTGGGGAGAGGTAGGATATAAAAGGTAAGTGGCCCAACCACTTTGGTGTAATTTAAAAAGTGTATGTGAAATGATAAGATATTCTTAAAGGGGTATAATACTAACCCGTCAGAGTCACATAGATATAACAGATATATAAGTACATGACTCTGAATTGGTAGTATTTATACAAGTTGCAATTGCTTTTTTTTTTTTTTTTTTTTTTTTTTTTTTTTTTTTTTTTTTTTTTTTTTTTTTTGCGATTGCACAACGGATATTTATGCGACAATGAAGGCAATAATTTTTCTGGCCAGTTTATAATTTCGTGACAATGGCTTCTTACAGGTGGTGTCCAGCCATAGTAAATAGCATAATTTTTACATTAGAAAGTTATATAAGATGTCTCCCTAATTGGGGGCGATGATTTTCTCAGTATACATAGAAGGGTTCTGGTGGTACCCAATCTTCTTCATCAGGGAGGTTGCTCAATATCATGGGTCGAGGGTAATCATCTTTATGAATAAAACGACGGACCCTCTGTGGGAGAGTCATTCTTTGAGTCCTGTGAGGAGGAGTATTGATGGTATAATCTGTAGTATTTACCACTTGTATAGGATGTTCTCTATCTGGCATGTATAGTTCTTGCATTGTATAAAGTTGTTTCTTTTTTAGGGTGTCAAGGCGTACATTTATGGCAGTAATATCTTGTTGTATGTGTAAATCTGCCATTTTAACTCTGTCTCTCCTCCTGGTATCGGTAATAAAGCGAAGAGCTCTATTCTGGACCCTTTGTAACCGTAGCATGTTGGTCTTCGTTGTTAATGACATTGGGACACAAGGGTATTCGAGTATTGGTCTTATTATCCTGAACCTGTATTCCCTGGAACGCAGGCGGGAGAGATACATGATTATATACACCTGGAAAATCCTAGAGGGACTAGTACCGAACTTCCACACGAAAATCACTCGCAACGAAAGCAAAAGACTCTGCAGAAGATGCAATATCCCCCCAATGAAAAGCAGGGGTGTCACTAGCACGTTAAGAGACAATACAATAAGTGTCAGGGGCCCGAGACTGTTCAACTGCCTCCCAGCATACATAAGGGGGATTACCAACAGACCCCTGACAGTCTTCAAGCAGGCACTGGACAAACACCTAAAGTCGGTACCTGACCAGCCGGGCTGTGGCTCGTACGTTGAATTGCGTGCAGCCACCAGTAACAGCCTGGTTGATCAGGCTCTGATCCACCAGGAGGCCTGGTCACAGACGGGCCGCGGGGCGTTGACCCCCGGAGCTCCCTCCAGGTAAACTCCAGGTAGAGTGTGAGTGTAAGAGTGAGTGTTAGAGAAAGAATGAACTGTATGAAAGTGAGTGGGAAAGAGAATCTGAGAGCTACATGTAAGACAGATGGTGAGTCTGGTACAATGATTCACCCATTAGTCATTGAGTAAATTACGATACAAAGTTGCTTTTATCTAAAATCTACCTTAATAATAATATTATTATTATTATTATTATTATCAGTAGTAGTATTATTAATGGGTCATAAACCGCCTGTGGAATGGGAGATAACGAGGTCTGAGCCCAAAGAAAGCAATGGTCGCTCCAGTTCCTGGGATCAAGAGCCCTATACCGGCATCAAGGTCTCTTGTGCCCAGCCTTCAACGCAGTATATATACCAAAGTTCTTCCGCCTGTCTCAAGGTCTTCTCGCCTTATCTTATCCAGAAAAGGTATATTTTATACATGTATATATATATCACAGTGTTTAATATATAATAAAATTCGAGGCCACAATTTTCCTAATTATCTATTTTTATAGCTGCAGAAATTTGATCACAATTTTGGAAAAAGAGTTGTATTGCAACCGTTGCAGTATTGCCAGATGGTCAGCCTTGATTTTTTTAATGTAATTGATTTATGCCCTTGGTGCCAGTGAAGGACTTTTGTTCCCTGGAACTGGAGTTATATTCTTCATTCCTCGGATCAAACCCGATTGCCTTCCATTCCCTTCCTCCCCCACCTCCACCCTCTTGGCGCTGTAATGACCCTCTACGGGTTTAACTCTTTCCCAGAAATTTGATTTCCTTTTAAAAACTAAAATAAATTTTGTTATAGAAAGACGCTAGTGACGTCGATTATAAGTAAAGTAAAAGGAGCGGCAGAGTAGGGTTGCCTGCTGCTTACTCTTGGTTGTGTCGTCTATGATCCCACTCCAAACTGCGTCGTGAAGCAAGCTGCAAGATACACTGCCTTAATTTGTTAAATACTGCTTTTGTATGGCAGGAAAAACAAATAAAACATCTACCAGGAAATGCCTAATATTATCATAGCTGAGTATAGCCAGTAAAGACAGGTATATAAATTTTTAATAGCGTGTTACAAATTAAAACATGAGAGCTCCTTAAGTATTCAACCAGAATAACAATAAAGACTTCAGTTCTATCCATATTTTAGGAATGTCAAAAAAGCATAATAAACATAGGATATATACACTAAGATGTGTATTTCTCTCAGTGTATATATACCAATGGAAATAAGTCACTCTGTCTTGCGTTATCCTAGGTAATATACACATATGCTACTATGTATGATAGTTTATGTAACTGTATTTACGAGTACCTGTACCTAAACTTGCTTAACGCTTCTTTTTGATTATAATAATAATAATAATGTACCTAAACTTATTTTAATCCCCATTTTAGAAATTACAGTATCTGTCTCTGGTGGAGGAATGGTTTCATGCAGTCTTAATGACCCTCGTGTGTCCGATAGGCTTTAAAACCCATTAACCACCCGACCGAAATGCTCAGCATGCTAGTGGCTGTCTTGTGTGCTTAATATTTAATTATGTGTAAACTGTATTTTGAATACTGCACAGAGAAATAATGTTTGTTTATAATAATAAAGTCTTCAGTCTACCTGTACTTAAATTGCAACAACAACAAAAATAAAGCAGATGGTTTTGAAGACTGGTATGGAGGGAGGAGCTGTGCATGGAAGTGGTGAGGTTGATGTTAGTTGCGCAAGCTTGTGCCTTGGTGATCACTTCTCTAGATATGTGTGTGTGTTTGTGTGTGTGTGTGTGTGTGTGTGTGTGTGTGTGTTTGTATGTGTTTGTGTGTGTGTGTGTGTGTACTCACCTAATTGTGGTTGCAGGGGTCGAGTCACGTGTATGTGTGTGTGTTTGTGTGTGTGTGTGTGTACTCGCCTAATTGTGGTTGCAGGGATCGAGTCACGTGTGTGTGTGTGTGTGTGTGTGTGTGTGTGTGTGTGTGTGTGTGTGTGTGTGTGTGTGTGTGTGTGTGTGTCGTACATATAACCTTGCTGTGGCCGCTTGCTCTTATGGAGTTGTCTTATTACGTGCTGTTTGCTTGAAGGTATTCTGTATATACGTCTTGGACATTTATTTCGAAGGTTGTGGAGTATATTTATTTATACTTTGAATGTTATTGTTTTGGGTTAATGTTAGTCATTATAGATAATAAACTTTATTTGATTATATGAGAAGCTCTTTATTAACACACACACACACACGCGGGGCCAGGAGCTAGGACTCGACCCCTGCAACCACAAATAGGTGAGTACACACACGGACTCGACCCCTGCAACCTCACACACACACACACACACACACACACACGCGCGCGCGCGCGGGAACCATACATAGTTTTAAGACGAGGTTTGATAGAGCTCATGGAGCAGGGAGAGAGAGGACCCAGTAGCAACCGGTGAAGAGGCGGGGCCAGGAGCTAAGACTCGACCCCTGCAACCACAAACAGGTGAGTACAAATAGGTGAGGTGAGTACACACAGGAGCTCTGAGTCTACCCCTGCAACCACATACAGGTGAGTACACATACACACTCACACAGGGGACAGATGATCTTCAAGGAGGTAGATACTCTACAGGGGATGCTAGGAAACACTTTTTCAGTCTCAGGTTGGTGAATAAATGAAACCCAAGATGCTGCAGACGTGATACAGGCAAATACTATACACTTTCAAGAGCACATATTATCCCGGACAAGTTATTTATTCTAACCCTTTCAGAAAATTGAATGTACACATTCCCTGTGATCCATGGAACGCTGAGTAGTATTATTATTATAATTATTACTATTATTATTATTATTCTTGCGTCCCGCAAGGATATGGACGGATAGAAAAACAAGAAGCTACAATAGTGTAGGTGGCCTGAGGGTCGAGGCTAATGCCCAAGGAGGAATTAGAGGCAGCCAACAGGAAATTCCCAGCATGTAGTGCCCTGACTGCTAGAAGTGAGTTTTGTTTCCCCTTCAGGCTCTGTCATACATTGTTGAGTTGACTTTCGCCACTAGGCGTCT